TATCGTTTTTAATTGTTTTCCTTGCAACTTATGGTATATTTTTGCTCATTTAGCAACTGTTTTGCACGATTTACAGTATGGTTGAATTTTTTTTTTTGGAAATGGCCGAAAATTCATGCGCGCGCGGATGTCATCCATATAATCAAATCAACATGGCCTTAGTGGAAAATAAATAGAGTGGTAAACAGAGAGATTCACGATTATAATGAATAAAACAAAAAAGAAACGAAAAATCTAATGATTCAAATCTTAAACAATTCTTATTTTGTTTGCTAAACGTACATTCTTTTTTCTCCAATAGGAATACATCAACGTGAATGACCTGAGCCTGGAACATAACAAGCGGTACATCGTGTGTATCCACGCCCAGGAGACCTCCATCACGTACGAGAAGTGGGTAGAAACGCTGCCGGAGACGGCCGTCTGTAGCAGCGGGGTGACGGTGGACGTGACTCCGCCCAACGCTGATGCTGCCGACGTTTGGATTGGCTCCAACGACAAATCCAACTATCAGGTAGACAATCAATCAATCATAAACTTCCTACTATAATATTATCATAATATAGAGATAGAGGCTGCTTCTATGTCACGGATTCAAGACGTTTCAACCACAATCGTTAATTTTGTTTTCTTTTTTTTTTTACTGTCTTTCTTTTTTAGGTGTCAACGACTGAAATGTTTATTCAGTGGGATGAGTTTGTGGATGTTGAAGAACATCATGCTTCTATGCATCATTCTGGGATCGAGCACTACGAATATGCAATCGGTAAGAAATAAATCAATTTTCTCTACATGACTTGACTATGATTTACTGTGTAAAAGCAGATGATGATGTTTCATTGATACATTGAACCTCAACTTGTTGAAAAAAGCTATAATAATAATACTTTTCCGCAGGTACAATTGCTGGTGGTTCAGATATCCAGAGCTGGACAGACGTCGGTATAACAGACCACGTCACTCTGCATGGACTTAGGCTACAACATGGCTGGTCGTACTACGCAACAGTCAAAGGTACAAAGCGTAGTAGCACCCTTGTGACTTGATCATAATGACTATATCAAATTCTATAAACCATGCAAGCTGCTACATGCTTGATAATGGCTTCAGAATGATCTGTACCTATTTTACTGTGAATCCTTACATTGTTTTGTGTGGCTGAGTTGAGTTTGTGTGTCTGTCAGAGTAGCAACGGCTGTATGGAGGGTTGGACATGGTTTTGACGACTCATAAGAAGGTGACCAGCTTGAAGGTAACCTCGGAAGTAAAAAAATAATTGTTTTCGTTTTTCATCAGCTGTGGATTTTGTCGGACTGTCGACCAGCAAAGGTTCCCAGAGAGTGACCGTTGACACCACACCTCCACTGAAGTCGGACACTCACATCAACGTGGGGGGCAGTTTTCACTACAGTTCATCATCGGCGTCTGCAAGGTATGATATCTCTACATGACTGTCTCTTCAAATTCAGCACGGATCGTAGATTATTTCTCCGACTTCAGGTGGTATTTTGTGGATTTAAGACCTTCAAATCACCCCATTTCCTGTGTCTGACCTGTTAACCTCCTTTTCTTCTGCCTGTCAATTTTCCATAGCATACCAATGAATTTGAGGTAACCGTGATCTCTTGCCATTGCAGCTGGGAGGGTGTGTTCTACGACACAGAGAGCGGAGTGTCGTTCTTTGAGTGGGCGGTCGGCTCCAGGGCGGGTCATGCCGACATCTACCCCTTCACTAGGGTGGAGGAGACGGAGGCTCAGACAGATGAGAACAGTCCTCTTCAGCTGCATGAAGGGCATGAGTATTATGTTTCCGTCAAGGTATGTAATACTATACTATTTTATCTAATACATAAAACTGGCACAGTTACACACATTATTCAGGCCCCAATGATATTTACTAATGGGTAAAATTAGAATTTTTTCACCCTTTGGATTGTCGAATCATCACCAACATGATCCTTTTGGTTTTCCTTTTTTTTCACATACTAGTAGGCGCATAGGTACTGTAATCATAGTAATCATACAGCTAATATCTAAATTTAAAAACGTTGTGAGGTCTTCAGCCTTGATAACTTCTCCTTTGACGACCTCCAGGCCTATAACGGAGCCGGGCTGATGACTATGGCGACGTCCTGGGCCGTGGTTGTGGAGACGTCCCCGCCTGAGGCCGGGAATGTGTACGACGGACCCACGAGTGGCGCCGTGAACGACATAGACTATCAGGACGACGTCACGACCATCCACGCCCACTGGGACGGTTTCCACGACCCCCATTCTGCCGTGGTGAGCTACACGTGGAGCGTCGGGGTGTGTGCCGGATGTAGCGACATTCTGGCTCCACAGAACGTCGGGATTCTTCAAGGTAACATCAATTTTATATGTATCTTGCATGGATTTAAGTTTGCAAGTTATTGGCAACGCCTTAGGGGCGGAGACGTCACATGTAGCGACGTCCTCCCAGTCACGTTTCCCCGCCAGGTAGCTTACGGGATGTTTTTTTTTTCGTTTTGCCCGTTAACTACTCCGTGGGGCATTAATGATATGATGATTAATGATATGATGATTAATATTAATTCAATGTAAAAAAACACAAAGGGAAGCTTTATTCATTCATCAATGTTTGTGCGTCTTTTTTTTAATGGAAAATGAATAAAAATGTACCTCTTATACGTTTGAAACAAGATTGAGTATCTTTGTTTTTTCTCCACAGCTGCGCGTGTGGACGCCCTTCAGCTGACCCCAGGAGAGACGTACTACGTGACGGTGACGGCGTGTAACGCTGCCGACCTCTGCACCACCGTGTCGTCTGACGGAGTCATCCCCGACGACTCCCCGCCTGTCGCCGGGAGAGTCCTGGATGGGGCTCAGGGAGAGGAGGCCTCCTACCAGGCATCAACGTAAGTACAGTCCACACAGCAATTAACAATGACACTGTAAGATTAGAATTATGCTATAGAACATTCCAGTTTTGTTGCCCAGAAATTGTATTGGATGACTGTAACAAGTATTGCAGGCTCTGTCCTTGGTGCTGAAACATTGGTTAGATGCAGTGCAATCATCGGAAAGTTCCTTTTTTTGCCAACAGAAACAGTTGCATTTTGTAGATGAAAAGTTGCATTTGCCAATGGCGATAAATGTCAGGTAAGCCTGGCAATGCTTACTTTGGGCATTTGATGATTTAGGTAACCATTATCAGACCTACCTGGGGTAAGATATGCAAGGCTTACCCCACAAAAAGGGAAATTTACCCATGGTGAATACAGTTGAATGTTCCTGTTGGCGGAAATGTATATTACACAATGCAGTCATGTACTCTACTACATGTATTTGCATGTGCTTTTTCAATCTGTTTACTGTCAAATGCTATGTTTTCTGCTCTCTGCATCATTGTATTTTCTTTTCTTCAACATCAGGAGCAGTTTGGCTGCCCACTGGTACGGGTTCAATGACCCCCATTCTGGACTGGCCTACTATGAATGGCGCGCTGGTACTACACCGGGCGGAAGTAACATCCTGGGACTAACACGGGTTAGTACACTTCTCTACCGCTTTTGGTGTTTGTTACTTCTAGGTACTAAAGTATTGTTTTGTGTGGCTGAAATCATTGGTTGGTTTGTTCGAATTGTTTTGGCTTCATTGTGGGTGGGAGGTGATTTTGGCAGTTCATTGATGGGGAGGCCACCCGAAGGTGACCCAGCGCATGTCTTCGGAAAGTGGTGTAATACCCGATTGTATGTCATCATACAATCCCTCCGCAGTTCCTGGTGAACGTGAAGGTCACGATAACACTGAATACCTCGCACAAGTCTGGAAGCTATGATTTCTCAAAGGCTGAACAAGATGTTGATTGTAGTATAATGATTTACGTGTTGCATTGCTTTACAGCTCCACCTGACGAATGTAGCTGTGAAGACAGGACTCTCCCTTCCTGTCAACACCCTGATCTACGTCACAGTGAAGGCATACAACCGTGTGGGGATGTCTGTAGAGACCACATCCAACGGTAAAAAATAGCCATTTATATCCAGCCAATAGACACAGTTGGATGCTTTCGTTTCCATGAAGCTGGTGTGTTACGCCGAAGAGCGGGTATACCGGCTATACCGATACAGAAATTTCTTGAACGTGAGCGAATCGATGTATTTAACCATTTTTGTCACCATATCAAAATATTCAGCCTTTTTCAATTGCACCAAACACACATACACAAGTAAAACAAATTGCGTTCTACACCTACATGTACGAAAATTGTTAAAATCTGTCAAATATCTGGTCACTCAGTAGCGGAAGCCTTTAGTGGAAAGGGGTGTAAGATTCATACGCCAAAGATGACCCGAAAAACGTATACGTACTGTTTATTTAATGTTGCCAGGGTTCCGAGTGGACACCTCTGCACCGACCGTGACGACAGCCGTGCACTTTGACCACACCCACGGTTCCTTCGTGAGTGGAACACAAACATGGCGGTCTGGTGTGAAGATAAAATGGCGGTTTGACGACAGCGAGAGTCTGGTGGTGGATCAGCACGTCTCTCTGTCCAACCATCACGGAGCGGAGGTCGCCAACATAAAGGTGTGTAAAACAACAATACTAGACAAAATACATATGGCTTCATCAGGTAGAATGTTTTCCGAACTAGGCAGCGGAAAACTCTGACTACTTTTTCTAACCCTATAATGGTTTTAAAAGACGTCAAAGTAAAAGGCTTTTTTAAATTATTAAAATTATTATAGAAAATCTGGAATCAAATTATCAAGATTAATTTTAACTCCTTGGGGTACGAAGTGTAAAGCGCAGAAGTCAGAACAGTGACTAATAAATTACTATTTTATCAATGTTTTATGTACTATTTTTTCCATGCAATAGTTACATACATCTATACATGATACTTAGCTGTGACTTTGATATTTTTCAGCTCAATGGCACAGTGTATGAGTACACGTTCACCGAGCTCGCACTGGATGATGGGAACAACTACGTTGCAAAGGTGATCGGGTGTAACAACGCAAGGCTCTGCACGGAAACCATAACTGGATCTCTACTGGTAAGCAAAAGACTAAAGTACACATTATCACATTTGTCGTATGAACGTTGTACAATCGCAAACTGAGGACATTTTCTGATTAGTTTTGCATTAAGTGGTACCAAACACTATTTTCTCACAGAAAAGACTGTTTTAACTTAAAATATCATAGATTTGTTATTGGTTGTTTCTGTCAAAGCCTCCTTGACAATTTATGTCAAAGCAAAAGCGACTAATATGACTGCACATTTAGAAATTATTTCTAACGTGTCCTTCATAATACAATAAACAGAAAGTCTTTCTTGTTATATTTGACTAAGAGATGATATAAAGAATGACAAATCATAGAAAAAGCAGTTGTCGTCTTCACTGGGATCTTTAAAGAAGACAGCATTGTGCTCATTTCATACTGGGACTGTCCTGTCCTGTGTTGTTGTTTTTTTTTTTTTCAATTTTTAATTTCATCTTTTTTTCATTTTCTTATTAATTTTCATTTTCTTAATAATTTTTTATTCTTTTGCATCCAGGTGGACTCTTCCAAGCCACTGACCGGACACTTCGCCATTAACACGACCCACGCCGCCCGGCTGACCAGGCACAGGGACAGCTGGATGACCTACGATAACAGCGGAACTCCGACCCTGAAGCTGGCCTGGCTCGGCTTCAGTGACTACCACTCTGGGATAGACAGACTCATGGTGGCAGTCGGGACTGGGTTCTACGGAAGGGACAAGACTCTGGTAAGACCTCTGTTAAACAAGCATCAGCAATAGAAACAATGCCCACGTTGTTGTGAAATCTGATTTACAAGCGGGTTGCCAAATTTGCATATTTGTGAGATAATTTGTATATTCGGGAAATACCACATGCGCCCACTACCAGATTAGGTAATTAGGGACAAAACTCTGGTAAGACCTGACTCAGTGGCTTCTACGAAGTTAAATTATGCATGCCCTAACACTGTGCTTTTTTGCAATATTGCCTTTCCGTAGAATGGTGCACCACAGGTTCTAGCTCACGGAAACACGAATGGTGACCAGGAGGACGACGAAGGTTATGTCCACACAGGGACGGTACAGCTGTCAAGCGCAGTGTCTGACTACAGCACTCTGTACATCTCCCTATGGGCCATCAACGGGGTAACTTCAGAATCCTTGTTACTTCGGGTACAGAAGTATTGTTTTGGGTGGCTGAGTAAGGATTTTGTCCATCTGTTTGAAGTGCTAATCCATTGCATGTGGGTGGGAGGTGATTCTACCACTTGATTGACAGGGAGGTCATCCTAAAGTTGATCTAGCATCCACGTGCGGAGGAATTTAGGAAGTGGTGTAATACCCGATTTACATTACATCATGACCCCTTCATAGTTCCAATACATTCACGAGTATGCAAAACATTTCCCGGAGGTCTGTGACCTGGAAACTTACAAAAACCTGGAAACTTACAAAAACCTGAAATACTTCTCAGAAGTCTGAAATATCTGATTTTTTTTAGTTAAAGTTATATTTATACATTTGAATTCCAAGCATCACACACCTTCAGATTGTGAACCATAATATAAACCTCTACCACATTTACGACCATTACATATTTGTGAAAGGTAAAGAGTAACAGATTTTATTTATTTTCACAGGCGGGGTTGGCCAGTACCGTGGCACATTCAGCTTTTGAGGCGGTCCCTGCCTCTGGATCTACTGGTAAATTGACGCTGGTGCGTCGGTGCGACGCACACTCCTGCTACGGACATTGTATCTGTGCACCCTTCAACCAGAACTGTGCCCGGCCTAGCGGAAATACCTGCACACAAGGTACTTTTCTACGAGATGTACCATTTCAGTTTCTACTTACATCACACACAAATAATAAGCACAACTAATCATGATGTTTCATGTTGTCGACATTGACAATTACTAGAGTCATAATTCATTGACATTATTGTCTGTTCCTAGCCGATTCGAGCTACTCCACTATCGAAGTTTATGACAAAACCGACTACAGCCTCCTGACCAATGGGGACACGTCTGACGCCTCCTTCACCTACTCCACATGCGCACTGGCGGCCAACTGGAGGGAGGCTACAATAGGGTCTGCCGGGAGACCGTACAGATACGAGTGGAGCGCTGGGATTAGTGTAAGTACGATATCTTGTCCGTTTAGGAGGCAATTTGGGTCTTCAAGAATATGATGTGGTTCACAGTACATGTACAGGAGTTTCTTGAAATCATTGGTTGCTACTAATCTGTTTCAACTGTAAATGTGATTCATGATACGTTCTCTAATTTTATATTTTATGTCTGATTTTTGCCACATCCTCCAGGGACAAACGGTTGGTTCCGGGTTGTTCGATCTTGTGTACGACCGTGTCTGGTATGATGTAGGTCTGGAGACCAGCGCTGTTCTCACCCTTCCAGTTGGAAGTACGTTCTCACCAAATGAAACTTTTAGTATCCTTGAAATAATCATATAACACTGGTATTTCATAGTCGGTTATAGAATATGTCAGACAAAATAAATGCTAGTTTTATGTAACTATAAAGGTGATCACGAACCGTTTTAGCTCCAACGAGCTATAAAATTTGAGCTACTCTTCCATTGGTCATAACAGAGAAGAATGTAGATTCAATGTACAGTCACTCTATTCACAGGTTCATTGTGCCAGGGAAACTTCAGCTGCTTTTTGACAAGTACAATGGATAGTGGACCATTGCTTAAGGTCCAATCCTAAGGACTACGAAACTTTTCTTCAGTGAGATTTGAGCCCATGACTTCTTGTTCCAGGGGCAGGTCCACTAGCAATGGTATGTGCACAGTGAATACCAGCGTAGGAACTTGTTTGATGTACAAATTATACCATGCTTCTAATTATTTACAACTACTCTCGATCCCAAGCATCCCTGGAGCCTGGTGTTACCTACGTGTTCTATGTGAGAGCCTGGTACACCGACAACATCTACAGGGACTTCCAGTCTAACGGAGTGAGAGCTGATCAAACTCCACCAAAGAGATCAAGTTCGAGGAAGGTCAGTGCATCGTGAACTTAATACTTAGTCCTAAAATGTAGGATTCGTAGCATTGTGTTAATCATAAAGTCGCCAAATTCATTGAACGTGATTGTGTATGAATGGTGTTCAGCACCAAGGACAGGTGTGTTTGTGTGTGAACAGTGTTCAGCACTAATAACAGGTATTTAATGTGTGGGTAATGTTCAGCACCAAGGACAGGTGTGTTTTACCATGTTAAGTTACAGTTTATTATTCAATCAACAAAATCATACAAAAGCAGGGAATGCTGCATGCATCCCTGAATTGCGTAACTGATTTTTACAATAAGTTAAAAAACCAAGACAGGACAGGTACACAGAAAAACACACTATATACAAATATGTACAAACACCATTCACTCTGCTATATGCATGCAAATAGCAGGCATAGGTTTTCAGATACATGTATCAGCCATTGTCACTGGCATTGAAGAGTCTTACTGCGCAGTGAATGAAGGACTGTTTCAGGCGCAGGGTCCTCGCTTTGGGCAGAGTGAACGTGTTGCTGTTCCTAAGCTGTCTCCCTGTAGCCGTTGCACGTTCAGGGGGAACAAGGTCGTGCAGAGGGTGATCAGGGTTCAGCATAGCTTTGAATAGATTTACTGCTGCTGACTCCCTTCTTTCCTTCAGGGTAGGTAGGTTTGGAACCGCCCGTCTACCACCACAGGAGATTATACGTAGGGCACGTTTCTGGACGCGTTCCATACTGGCGGACTGTTCTTCATTGCACCCAACCAGCAGGACGTGTCCATACTCCAGGACGGGACGAATCAATGACAAATACACCTGAACCAGATCAACAACACTCATGCCTTGCTTGGTCAATAATCTCAGATAGTGTAGCCTACTGGAGGCCTTTGAAACGGTAGACTTCACATGATCTTGGAAGGAAAGTTTACTGTTGTTTGTGTGTTGATAGTGTTCAGCACCAATAACAGGTATTTAGTGTGCGGGTAATGTTCAGCACCAAGGACAGGTGTGTTTGTGGAAAGTGTTTAGCACCAAGGACAGGTGTGTTTGTGTGTTGATAGTGTTCTGGACCAAGGACAGGTGTATTTGCGGTTTGTACTATAGTCCACTGGTTGTGGTGTGTGTTTAACTCCCGAACTCTTTCCCGAATACTAAAAAGAGTATGTAGGATTTTCAAATCTTTGATATGACTCGGGTAGAGACTAAACTGACTCCCAGCTCTTTGCTAATGAATGTTTGGTTTTGCTGCAGATCAAAGACCTGACGTCCACATCAGACGAACACGATATTGAGTACATGGCCCAAACAAACAGCCTGAGCGCCAGCTGGGAGTATGTCTTCCTGGACGCCATCAATGATGGGAACGACCGTCATTTCCAGCGCTTTGAGTTGGCTCTGGGCACCTACCCTGGAGGTAAGATAGTAACTGTGAATCTTACTTGTAATGATTCAGATTCATGTCCAAAGATACTAAAATTAACTGAAAATAGTAGGTATTGTTTGTATGTGCGTGTGTATATTGTGCGTCCTTACAGTTGAGTAAAACGTGAGTGGGGGAAATATATAACCACAGACCACAAATGCCACACACTAGAAGTTAGGTCTCAGAAGCTGTAAACCGGGATGCCAGAGGACAATGCTTGCATAAATATACTATTATTAGAGAAATAATCAATATACTAGTAACAAGAATTTAGTTAATACCAAAAACTAAAAAAAAGAAAAGGTTTCACCAAGTGTGGAATATTAGTTTTGAAACGTTCCTCTTGATTAAAATAACTTCACCTTTCGACAAACTAACCTACAGGAGAAGACGTGAAGAGGTTTGCGGATAACGTGGTCTCCGGGACCGCCACGTCCCACACCTTCACGGGCCTGAGCCTGCAGTCAGGCAGGACGTACTACACCTCCGTACGGCCGTACAACTTCGCCGGACTGCACAGTACCTTCCACAGCGACGGTGTCATGGTGGACACGGTGGCACCGACACCAGGGGTCGTCTTTGATGGAAGGGGTATGAAAAATATCTTTCTATACATTGAAGCATCCATATACTGTGGCAAACCGTCTGTTGCTGGTCTTTTTAGATATATATCATAAAAATGTGTTTGAATCTCAAAATCGGACTATACAGCCACAGCAGGTATAAGCTATAATAAATGTTCAGAGGCATCAACAGTAGTCCAAAGTGCTCAGTCCAACAATAATCTACACTCTGTTGCAACAGTACAGCAACTATACTTTACAGTATATTTAGTCACCTCTTATTTTTGGAGTACAAATAATTCTTTGAAACCTTACAAACTGACTTATAACAATATTAGCAGAAATGGGTGCAATGCTGTAATGCTGTAATCAGTAGTAAATTTAGTAGTTTACAGTACAGATATAATATAGACATTATTGTTGGTTTGCTAAAGGATGTAATCTGAAATAAACCTAATTAAATCCTCTTACAAACAGGTCCTGGTGATGAGACCTACACTTCAAGTTCAACCATCGTGTCTGCGTTTTGGCACGGGTTCAACGACCTGGACTCGGGCATAGACAAACATTTCTGGTGCATTGGAGAAACCAACAGCCAATCAGAGTGTAACGTCATGGACTGGACCGACACCGGATTGGTCCAGGAGCGAACCGTCACACTTTCAAACAGTCTTACAAGTGGTGAGAACGTTAAGGTTTTTTTCTTGATTTTAATTTAAGACGTTTAATGTATAGAGCAGTTCAAATGTCCATTTCTGTAGACCTTGGGGTAAACAGGTATGGAGGCATGTTAGCACCTTAAAGTTAATAACATTAGGTATCGGATAACCATCTCAAGATTCAAGTCATTGACAATTTAGCACCTATATTGTCTTCAAATTGACCCCATACAATCAGAAATGTTCATCGTCATCTCATGTTTGCCACAAACAGGCTATCATTGTCCTCTATTGTTTAGTCTAGTCATCGGTGCTTTATGTTGTGCCCCACCCCCCAATCCACAACAAATTCCTGCAAGCTCTCCCTCTCCTGTCCTCAAAGATTTTGTTTGGCCGAGAACTTATGAGTGAAATCCATGATTATACAAACCACACTTTCAGTACCCAGGACAGGAATATCTTCAAGTCCTAAATGACACTGGGCAGCTTGTTCATTGAACCAATGTTTTGTATCAGGACAACGTTATTACAACAAAGTGAAGGGTCAGGACGCCGCCGGGCACCAGTCACCAGTCGCCGTGTCTGACGGGTTCCTTGTGGACACCTTCCCGCCGATCCCAGAGGCCAACCTGCAGATAGGGGAAAACCTGCTCCTCAATCCGTCATTTGAAGACACAGTAGCCGGTGGAGCAGGTGACAATCTTTGAATTCTATCTTTAAAGATAATTAAATCTTATGTAGTAGTTTAATGCATAATTGGAAAATAAGTTGAATTTTACCCTTACCCTTATTACCCTTTCATCTGTTCACCTGTACTTAGCCCGATAGGGAATGAATGTACAATAAAGGTTATTATTATTATTATTATCAATTTTGCCATACAATTGAAGTTACGTAAAATAGAGACACTGTAATAGTGTTTGGCAAAATTCTGATTGAAAAATATTTGCAGTGGTTTCAGGTTTGTAGTTTTTGGACTGATCTTAAACTAATTACACGGTTGATATGTGGTTTTGTAGTGCTGTGTTACATACAGTTGTTTCAATCACAAACACCACAGACTCAATTTTCTATCTTCCAAATTGCTATATAACATACTGATACAAATTACTAGTAGTTTCTATAATCATAAAGAGTATCTCTAAGATGATGAAAAAGGTTAACACTCTTCTGTTTCTTGAAGGTTGGGTACTTGAAGCTGGATCTGTGGCAGAACAGATCTCCTCCTTACCCACTGACGACTTCCAGACCAAACATGGACGTTCTCATCTCCTCTTACATGGCACCATGTCTCAGACCTTCACCACTGTGGCAGGTAAGTCATACGTAACACGAATGCTGATTGGTTGGTTGGTAACCAATCAGCATGTACAGAGTATCCCTCAATGGGAAGACTGACAAATTGTAAGCTGAATACTGATTGGCCAAGCTGATGACCAGTACGAATAACCAACCAGAGTAGTGGATATAAATTGTGAGAAAGTCAGTATATAGTATGGTTAGTATAATATATGCTACATATTCCTTTTTTTATACTTTTTTGCATTGTGAGAGTTATATAGCATACCTACACTGAGAGTTACTTGTAATCAGTTTCATGTCAATTTCTTTCTATCTTTACTTTCTATGAACAGGCCAAGAATACCGCATCACATTTTTCGCCAACCAAGATCTGACCACGGACGTCCCCCGTCTGACCCAAGAAGGTCTGCTGACGGCCCCAGGTCTTCATCAGGTGTTCAAACTGCGGAACAGACAGGTGTCCACTGTCGACACCACCTCTACAGAACAGTGGGACACCTGGCAGAAACAAATCTTCTACTTCACTGCGGCCGGCACCGGCTCAACTGTCACCGTCCAGTCTGTTGGGACGAAGGCAGGGATTTCACTGGATAACTTTAAGGTAGGAAACCGTTTTCTGTTCTTACTTTTACATTGCCGCCATCCATGAGTTTTCCTTTTCATGGCTGCAGTGTTAATACTTCTGAGATGGAAGTATTGTTTTTGGTGGAGCTGGTTTAGGAGGAGTTTGTATGTATCTTGTCCTCAGCAGCAAGGAGTGGGAGTGGGTAGAGGTTGGGTTTCAGTTGATTGACAGGGTTGTTACCCTGTAAGCCGTGGGATGTAGAATGTGGATGAAGTCGCCAGAAATGTGTACTGTTGTAATCATAGTACATGTATAAAACATAAACCAGGACCTGGTGTAATACCGGAAAAAGTTACATTTTACAATTCATTCCATGATGTGATTCAATCGGGTATTCCCTCAAGATCATACAGTACAATTCCAATACATTAACAAGTTTCCAATGCAGTCTAAAATGTATTGTCTTGGTTTTAAAAGGAATATTTTGTAACAAATGTGTCGTTCTAATAATCACGTTGTATGTATCAGAACAAATGGCGAATGCACGCGTATACATGTCTTTATTTTTCTCCTCGCCAGGTGGAGCCAGTGACCTACACCACCACCCACTTTAACTCCACGGCCGTGTATGAAGGCTACATCGACCTGACGGCCCAGACCCTGTCAGACTGGGGGTCGGTGTCGGCCAAGTGGAGCATGGTGGATCCTGAGTCTCCTATTGTGGACTACTCCTGGGCTATCGGCACTGCTAAAGGTATACTAAGTCTTATAATCTCTATCAAAGATTGCTGCGATAAACAATATGTATCATTCTTTAACCTAATCTACAGCCCGAACCTGTCGCGATTTTGAAATAGGTACTCAAATGTGCTGAAGGTTAAGGTTCAGTTCTACGACATATTAAAGCTAAAGCTGTCAATATGCATGTAGGATATTAGCAATGAATGGCAAGAAGAAGTCAAGAGTTTCATGCCACAATAAAGTAGTAGTAGTACATGTATTTGCAAATTAATGTCAAGTTGTTTCATTAATCTTAGTTGTGAATTTTTCACTGATTCTGCATATGTGGGGGACTGTTTCGACATCCAATTCAACCTTCCTGTCAGTCTGTGGTTACACAATTTCCACCATCACTTCCTGTTACTTTACTTTATTCAAATATCTATGGACACAAGTAAACTAACTGAACAAACACGCACAGACTGATTATGAATTAGTATTGATGTTTAATGTATTATATTTGATGTTTAATGTATAATATTTCATGTTAATGTTCATTATTGCAATTTGTTTTGTATTGAATAATGTGATCTGTATTCATATTGTGCATGTTGTGTTTGGGAGGACAACTTGTAAAGGTGTCAATGTTGTTTTGTCCTCCCTTCCACTTGTATATGTGGTGGTAAACTCAAATGAACTCAAATGAACAAATGATATTTCAAACTGTGTCCATTAGGTGGCACACAGCTGCAGCCCTTCAGAGCTATCGGAGTCCAGAACAGCGCACAGAACAGCGGTCTCTTCTTACATCATGGTTCCTACGTCCATGTGGTCGTCATGGCAACCAATGCAGCAGGGCTGTCTGCAGGTGAGCGTTTGTCACTGCGTGATGCCAGGATATAATACAGATATGGGGTCTTGGATAGTCTTATTGGTAATATAAAGTGTTATTTGTTATGTCAGTGTTAAGTGTGTCATGGCAGGAAGTAATGCCCTTATACGCCTATGTGGCCTTGAATACTCATAAAAGTTATTGGTAACAGAAAGTGTCATTAAATTTGTTATTTCAATGTCATGTCATGTCAGGAAATATATTCTGAACCTATGGGGCCTTAGATACGCACAAAAGTAATATAAAATATTATTAGTTATTATATTTTCATGACTTATTAGATGACTTTGCAATTGTTTGTAAACTGAATTGCAAGGGCATGTGTAAAAACAGCATAAGCAGTTTATTATTTATCACTACTATTTACAATAAACTTAAAAGTTTTTCTTGGCAAAAACTTCGAAGAAAAAAATTTAATCTGAATTTCTAATTCAAACCTCTTGGGACGTCATTGTGGTAGTCAATGATGACCATCTGTGTAGAATGAAGTTTATTGATTCATTTATTTATTTATTACAATTAACCACATACATAATATACATGTGGAACGGGTGCACCTAAGTGCACCTTTTCAAGGCCCAGTTTTCAAGGCCCACCATGCCCAAGTTAATTGTATCTCAATAATTGTACCTCAATATCTTTCTCTTCTTGTAGTTCTGTATTCTGAGCCTGCGCTGGTTGACCTGACTCCCCCTGTGATGGGAACAGTTCTGGACGGAGCCACGGGTGACGTGGACGTGGATTACCAGAACACTGACATCATCTGTGCCAACTGGCCTGACGTTAGTGATGAAGAGAGCGGTATCAACTACTGCGAATGGGCTCTGGGTGAGTGGCTAGTTAAAGGAGCACCATTATGGAAAACTTAAACTGTTCTCCAACTCAAAATTTGACTCACCAGAAATTTTCGACTGAATCACTCAGTCTTCCTCAGCTATCTGACCCAAATGCTGTGGACATGTGATTTTTCCCACGTGTGACGTCAGCAAAGGGTCAAAGGTTGTCTGAAGTCAACCGGGACGGGGGGCGATATCGACTTCAGACAACATTTGACCCTTTGCTGACGTCACACGTGGGAAAAATCACATGTCCACAGCATTTGGCACTAAAACGGGTTATATGAAGCGCACTTATTTTGCGGTACCACCACAAAATACTAGAATGTAAACGAAGTAACCAAGTAAACAAATAAACTTGGTTGACAGCTATGTTTCCAGCTTTTTGGACCCACTCGTAAGGTGTAATATTTTGGCACCTCCACTCCCCGGAGTGGCACTTATTTGCAATTGAGTGGGGTTGTGCATCTCTATTATAGTATAAATTGAAATGAATTGATAATACTGCATCTCTGTGTAGCTATGTGTTATCCAAAACTATAAATCTTAACTTTACAGGTACAACGCCGCATCTGGCCAACTTGATGAGGTTCACGACAACCAAAATAGCAGGAGACGGAAAATCCGCCTGTATTGACTCACAGTCGTTCATCGCTCATGGAACCAGGATTTTTGTCATTGTGCGGTGTCACAACCACGCCGGCCAGGTCAGTAGAAAAGAACAAAATCTACGTCATGTAACTCTCAACTTTGATAAACCAATCCTGACTGTCCAATATAATTAGCAGTTCAACCAATGAGAGGATCGCAATTAGTGGTTTGACCAATGAGGCATGTAGCTATATGTCCATCATTTACAATGTATTTGCAGCTTTTATGTTTTATTTTGGTTTTTCTACATTTTGAGGTGGGAAGGGCTATGGGATCAGTCTTTTCCTGAGAATGTCTTCTTAAAGATTTGTAAACACTCTCTGACAGGTGTTTTTACTAACAAGTCGTAAAGAAAAACACAAAATAAAATAAAAGTGTGTGCTGGGAAAGAGGCTATTACTTATACATGCTACATACACAGGCCATTTATTCAGTGCTTTTCGACTACATTGTAGGCCGGAATGCCATAGTCATTGCTTTATCGGAACAACAGACAATAAACCGGATAGTGTGTGTTAGTGGGTTATTGAATAAGTGAGTACATATATATAATGATTTGATATTTACCGTTGTTCCATTAAATCCTACAGTCTGCCACAGCCAGTTCAGACGGAGTTGTCCTGACCTCCGTGCCCCCCAGTATCGAGCACGCCTATGTGACGGTTGTGATCGAGCCGGTGACTCAGTACGCCCCCAGGAACCACTACCAGTACTCCCCGGACAAACTGCACATCGCGTGGGGAGGCTTCGAGGACCCGTCCGGCATCTATTACTACGAGGTAATGTTCTATTTCATACATTTAATTTTACAGGCAGCAACCCAGTTAACAAGAAAGCATAGATTTTATACATAATATCTATGTTAAATCTTCTATCAATTCTGTAGTACATGGTTAAATCTTCTATCATTTCTGTAGTAAATGGAAGGTTAAATCCTCTATCATTTCTGTAGTACATGGTTGAACCTTCTATCATTCCTGTAGTACATGGTTGAGGGCCCAGACTTCACCTCAGCATGGGAGGAGGTGCCCTGGACAGGAGAGCACACGGCGACCTTGACTGACCTGCAGCTCGTTCCCGGGGCCACCTACATCGTCAGTGTCCGGTCTGTGAACTTCCTTGGGATGCAGAGTGACTCTGTCTCCACGGAGGTCAACATCGCGGTTCAGGGGAGGCCTTCTGTCAGCGGTGGGTTTATTACAATTATGTGTGATCAATAGGCCATTTACCGCGTGTAATGACGGTACAGAAAATGTATGAAATGCTGCTTTCATAGATCTTCTGTACTCATCCTAGACTACTAGTGAATCCATTCAGATTGGTAACAAGTTGATCTGTTTGATTGGAGTATTCAGGAACTGATTTCTGAGAAAGACAGGCCCTTTTGACAAGTCCTTCAATTTGGCCTTCCTGTCAATTTACGGTTACACAATTTTGCTTTTTTTTAATCTCCTTAACTCAATTGTATTCGATTGTATAAATAGGGCCACACAAATGCAAATTGCAGAACCTCTTTCCATGGAATTCATAAAATGATCAGCGAGAAAATCTTACATGAACAGAACTGACAAGTATTAGTTTGGATATATGGGTGCAACAACAACCATCGTTTCAGTACTAGTCAATTAACCATGGACATGAGTTGGTGTAGCAAAATGTATAGATGCCTAGTATCAAAATGTTGTTGTTTCCTTCAGGTGGACTCCAGTTGTCCTGGGCAAGCTCAGATACAATGATGATTAAATGGCCTGGTGTGTTCCGGTCAGATAATGACGGTAAGTAACAGTCCTCAAACAGAAGCTTCAAACTAGAGGTTTTCCGATGCCTAACATTCACAATGCTCAAAATAAAGTTTTCTCTCAAAAACTGCCTTGAATTTTACATTTATCCTATATTCATCATTAAAAATTTAAGTTGAAGTTCATCTTGTCTCCGTTAGATTTTAGAGAATTTTCTGTGAAGTTAACCTTGAAATTTGTTATACAACCTCGAGTATAGTAAAGTTATTCCCAAAAAAGGAATGCTGGTGTGTTACCCTAAGGGGCAGTTATACGGTTTATACAAATACAGATGTAGATATAGATATACCAAACTTTATAAAACGAGTAGCAATAGGGATGGGTTTATCTACATATTTCATATTGTAATAAGCCCTGTACTATATTTTTCTATAGACCTGTACTACGAGGTATCAGTGGGTCTGGTGGAGGGTGGCAGTAAGGCGGGCCTTTGGTACGAGACCAAATATACCAACATGACTGTCTCCAACCTGGATTATACAAAGGTATGTATATGTTACAAGATTGAATATTATATACAATAACTGGCTATATGTTGATTTTCGTCATCATTTGAGACCTGTCCTATACATTTATCATCACCGATGAATGTTTTTGGACTAGTATTACGTTTTATATTTTTTTCGTTAAATTTTTTAGGTAATTTTGCTCCTATTCCTATGCCTTTCTGTTAAAAGCCTTGAAGCCTGATGCAATTTGTATATTGAGCTTCTTCTATGTATTATCTTGGCTGGTTCGTCTAGACAAAGTAAATTGACAACACATGGGTCGGGGGATGGGCAAGCAGAATAACAGGAGGTCTAAAGGTCAGACCCAGGAAATGGGGTGAACCTGAATATCTCAATACGGTCTGGAGCCGGCAGGAGTTAGTGGTCGACATGGGGGAATTCAGGAAGCTGAGGATTCCATACTTCCCGGAAGTCTAAGATCTCTGATTTCTTTTTGTTTATGCATTCCAGGAATATCACGTGGCCGTCAATGCCATAGACAATGCAGGGATGTACATCACTGCTACCGGGATTCTATCTCCTTAAAGTGAAGAAGACACAACTTTTGTGAAGACCTTGCTGTGCTGAAGACAATATAGTTGTTTTGATGATTTTTATAGAACGTGTGTGGTGTTGTTTTTCCTTCAATGCTTCAAAATTATGGATCATATAATTATCATGATGGCAGCCAGTTTGAATTTCTATCAGTCGAGTACCCAACACTAGCCTGGAGTCCAACCTTGTTAGCTTTGGTCTGCTTCACAAGACTGCCATGTTTATCAATATGCCATAAGCTGCTTTATCAACAGAATTTATATCTTAACTTTGTCAATTTACTTCACTGAAAAAATCCATGTATACAATTCTGAACAAAACTGTGTGTTGATATGACATGGCATCTGTTGCTTCAATTTGCCGTTAAAGATATTGCTGAATCAGAAAGCCAATAAGTCATAAGACCAAGTCACCATGATGATGTTGAATTGAAAATGAGTGAAGCTATGTTTTGGGCACTGAAAGAATGCTAATGTTACAGCTGATGAAGATTTTCTATAACTATGTGTTGTATTTTGTTGCCGAACACTGTCCATCTCTTACAGTGAAGTTCCACGTTCTTAGTGAATAATCTGTTCCATATACTTAATGTCGAAGTGTACCTTTTATGTGAATTAAATTTGGCGGAGCATCTTCAAGTAGTGTTGTTTCTTGTTGTTTATTTATCTAACCTGGACAAAACTCGATATAAAATGACATAACATTACAACAAACAATAAAAGGTCCAACGAAAATGAACAGGCCTTCGTAAACAAGTAAAATTCGTAAATAAAAATAATGCTATAGGAGTAGTAGTGGAGTGATGTGAGTACTCATTCTGATACAAACATGCAAAAATGAGATTTTTGGGAATGTGGATCTTGAAATGGGAACAGACACACAGGCACCATTTGGGCATCTGTACATACATACACGTGTGTGTCCTCGTCCTATTTGCTCGATGTCCATTTATTTATGTAACTCTGCCAAGGATAGTTAATTTTGTCTACCGAAACTCCGTTCGTTCCATTTTTTCAGATAAGGCCATGTCGATTTGATTGTATGGATGGCATCTTTTGAGAACCCCAAAACTAATACGAGCGTGCGAATAAAAATGTTTGGCAAAAACAAATTGCCCTCTTTATGACGTGGCAATGAAGGTTGAACAAATGAAATCACACATAGAGTAGAAAATATTCGATTTCATTTCTCCACATTTCCACGACATAAGTATCGTTTTGCATTTTTCGTCGATTTACGGCACACATCCGCTTACTTTACAGCCTCTTGTACGATTTAAGTTATAGTAAAAATGTTTGGAAGGGGTGGACGACAACCCATGCCCGAGCGGATGTCATCCATAAAATCAAATCAACATGGCCTGATTACAAAACGCTACCGTCGGCGACACAATTCATTTCTTCGACGCTGAATCAACAAGCCACACGCAGCAGTAGTCATCTGTTTGACGATTCGGCCACAACGCGTTCTTTGAAGAACTGCATTTATAAAATTGCGTTAGCTACAATTCTTCGATAAACGCGCAGAAAACGTCGATCTACAAAGCATCGATCATGGAACATCGTCGTAGCGCTTTCAAGGTATGGTTGTTGGTTAGTGTCATGCTCTCCGCTGCCGAAAACGATTCGTGTTCCCCCGCATGCAGTTGGATAAGCTGCTCTGACGGCCGTCTACAGTTCAGCGGGAGTTGGTTTAAGATTAGAAGCGTCAAACACCCTTGTCTCACTTGCGATCATGGTTCAAAAGAACCACGACCTCTCCCTCACGTTTCATGTTTCACACACCCGAAATGGGTCGGCGTCAGGGGCGTTCCGTTTGGTGTTCTATCGGCGACAAAATTACCCATCCCCGAGCCGACACAACTACTTTTCCTTACCCTCGTGGACACCGAAATTACGGACTTGGAACGAAACACCTTAGCAAACCTTTCCAAATTACGGGAGTTGCACTTGGAATTCAACAACCTGACTGTTGTAAAAACCAGCTACTTTACAGGTCTACGTGGTGATTTGGGACATGTACATCTTCGTACCTTGTCACTCGCGCACAATAAAATTTCACACTTAGAATCAGGCTGCTTCCAAGACCTCACTGGCCTTTGTGACTTGATACTCTGGAGTAACGAGCTAACATATATAGACCATTCTAGTTTTCTAGGTCTTCTAGAGCTAAGGGAGCTTGTCCTGGGATTCAATCGCATTGAGACAATCGATGGTAGAACTTTTCAATCTTTCAACCGACACACGCTGCGCCTCCTGGACCTGAGTAGGAACAGGTTGGCCCAAGCATGTCTCACTTCTAAGTTATTTTCCGGTTTAGCGCATGCGCACAACAGTATTAGGTCATTGTTGACCATAAAACTCTCAAATATCGGGAGCTTCAATACTGATGTCACAAAACAGTGGGGCCTCGTTCTTTATATATTAAGTTCTCAACCGCGATATGTAGCTGTAGTTATCGAGAATTTCATTCTCTGTGTGAGTCCAAATTATCCTCACGACAACGAATACCTAATGTCGTGGAATGTGAAGAAATCAAAAGAAGATATTTTCGGGGCTACGAACCCTTGTTCTGCACTGGATAGCTCGGCGACTCTACCAAGGTCAGTGATGGTTGTATCCCCGTTTGTTGTTATTTTGGCTACAGCAGGCACGTCTGCCGAAGAGCAGTGCGTACTTGCTTGGAAGCACCAAAGAGGAGTCGAGTTGCCTGTAAGCGATAGTCTCAACATTCGGCTAGCTACTGTGGATGTCGAGGCACACCTAAATAACAGAAAAGCGAACACGGCACTTATATTCGACGAAAAGTTGCCAAAAGCGGGAAACAATTCAAATATTAGAAGGGGTATAAGACAGCAACTCTATGGCATTCAAGGTCAAGAAATAAGAAATGTGACCTGTCTTTCGCTTACCCCAGATAATGCATCTTTTTCTTTCTTTGAAGTTAATCCCTTTCGAATCACCTCTGGCAAAATGTGCTTAGAAAACCAAGTCCTCAATACTACAGAGAACAATACAGTCGCGTACAATACCACTGTAATAAATACCTTCAATCTAGAAGATACAACCACAAAAGAAATGGTGACTAACAGAAGAGTTGTTACTGATGACCGTTCGGAAAAGGAACATATCTCCATGGTGGGGTTAATTTCGGCATTGGTCACAGTGGGATTATTTTGCCTTGGGCTTACCTTGGCCTATGTTTATAGAAAACGACAGTTAGCTGGCAGAAACCATCACAGAAACTTTCATTTCCAACCGACTATGACTGTAGCGATGAAAAATATACATTCAAGAGGAAGAGCATCGTCGCTTCCACTTGTGGTACTTAGGGACACGCGAATCTTTGACAATCTGCATACATGTAAGCATCTTCAACGTCAGTATTCAGTGCCTAATTTTGCAAATAAAAACGGTAGAGGCTCCCATGGCACGTCTTTTGATGCCCCGAACTACTGGGAAATCCCTGACGCTCTCGTAGATTCCAATGACCAGCCGGACCCTGGACAACTCGACGCTCCACATTATTGGGAAATTCCGGATGCCTTAGTTGATTCGGACGCAATCGGCACCTCTCGGGCAATTCCGGGCGCCCTCGTGAACTCTACTCGCCAGCCGACGACTGACGAACTCGGAGAAGCCCATTACTGGGAAATCCCGGACGCCCTAGTTCATTCCGGACCGAATTCGGTAGAATTTGACGCCGCTCGTGACATCCCGGAGCCCCGCGTAAACTCCACTTGCCAGCCGACAATAGACGACTTTGACGGTGCCCACTATTGGGACACCATTCGAGCCCACCGACGACCGTCATCACTTCCAATCGATATCCTGACTAATCATAACAGTGAGCCAATGCCATGCTCTCTTCCGCATCAGTACTGGAACAATCCAGATGAAGATATCGATGGTGATTCTACAGCCTTCTACGCGTCAGCAGCAGAGCCAAAGTTTTCGGGTGTCACTAAGAGCGGGGATAGTGATCGACTATACAAAGGCGTGGCTTCTAGCGCAACGACACAGACAGGCAGAGGACATTCGATTCAGGCTACATACAGAACTGATGATGTCCAAACGGCCTTTGTGGCTGTTCACAATGACTATAGCATCGATAACTAGGCTCATTTGGTAGTAAGAGACGGGGGACCCCATAGACGTTCTTTCATTTTTGAACCACTGTTACCAAAAACTCTCATGGATATAAATGTACCTTTTATGAGAATTAAATTTGGCGGAGCAACTTCAAGTAATGTTGTTTCTTGTTGTTTATTTATTTATTTATTTATTTAACCAGGATAAAGCTCAATATAAAATGACATAACATTACAACAAACAATAAAAGGTCAACTAAACAAAGATCCAACGAAAATAAACACGCCTTCGTAAACAAGTAAAAGTCGTAAATAAAAAATAATGCAATAGGAGAAGTAGTGGAGTGATGTGAGAACTCAGTCTGATAAAAACATTCAAAACTGAGATTTTTTGGGAAATTCGTGAAATAGGAACAGACACACAGGACACTAATTGGCACCATTTGGGCACCTGTACATACGTATGCATGTGTCCTTGTCCTATTTGCTCGATGTCCATTTATTTATGTCACGCTGTCTGGGATAGTTAATTTTGCCTTTCGTTCCATTTGTTCAGATAAGGCCATGTCGATTTGATTATATGGATGGCATCTACTGGGAACCCCAAAACTAATACGAGCGTGCGAATAAAATGTTTGGCAAAAGCAAATTGCCCTCCTTATGAAATTTAGGTGGTCATGAAGGTTGAACATGGCCAATTTGTCATATCGCCTTTCATTTAAATAAATCGCTAAACATCTGCTACATTTGCTACATTATACGGTAAAAGAAAAACATACTGTAAATGTCGAAAAGTTCGCAGTGGTTTGAGTGGTTTTCACGTTAATTTCTTCTCCGTGAATTCCAATGTATTACTACTGTACTACCGAACTACTACATTATTACTACTACTATTTTTGGATTACTGCTGAATCAACTCCACGTGAAGTGAATTAATCAATTTAAATCAACGCATTAATTGATCTTCACCGCTGGGTCTTGTGGCACAACATTTAGAAGTATTTGCAGACGTTTTGTTACGTAGCCTGAAAACAAAAGGAAAAAATGATTATGTCCAGAAAAGCTGGATACTAAAATTGATTTTTATGATATATCTAACGGAAATATATGATTTAACGAAATAATTAACGGAAATATAATTTTTATGATATATTTAACGGATATATTTAACAAAAAATTTAAATCAATATTTAATACACGTATTAAATATTTGACGGACATGCAGCCACTCTCTCGTTGATCAAACGGCTAATTCCCATTTTCTCACTGGTCGAACTACTGATCATTCGCTCGTTGGTCGAACTGCTAATTGACATTCTGTCATTGGTCAAACTGCCAATTACCACTCTCTCATTGGTCGAAATGCTACCATCCTCTCATTGATCGAACCGATTACTAAGTGCCATTTTCTCATTGGTCGAACTACTGATCATTCGCTCGTTGGTCGAACTGCTAATTGACATTCTGTCATTGGTCAAACTGCCAATTACCACTCTCTCATTGGTCAAAATGCTACCATCCTCTCATTGATCGAACCGATTACTAAGTGCCATTTTCTCATTGGTTGAACCGCTAATTGCCATTCTCTCATTGGTTGCAATTGAACCACTAATTATTACCATGCTCTCATTGGTTAAACCGATAATGTGATGTGCACGTAGTAAGTTCTAACCTTCAAGCGACAGGAACCAGGCTGGCTTGTTTTTCCAGTGCACGAAGACGGCGTAGACTGGAATGGCGCTGGCTAGTATGATCAGCCCGATGCCACACTCAACAGGGGCCGACACGAAAGAAACAACCACCATGAACAGGCTCAGAAGAACGAACAGAACAGGAATGGCCAGGTTGTTCTAAAAAGGAAAAAAAAATGTCAACTAGATATGTATCACTTGCAAAGCAAATGCATAATCTTTACCTTTACATGGTCTAGCTCAACAAACTATAGCTCTGTTAATTCTGAAACACACCATATAGTGACTACGCAGCGCCTCATGAAATGGGTACGCATGCCACTTGCTACATAATGTAACCCAACACCACAGCACCAGTTACCATGGTGACAGGCGTTGGATCCAGGTCATTGGCCTAGTTGTTTGGAACGGAAGAACACTAAAGGAAGAAGAAACAGAGCAAAAACAATATGTTCTCCTTTTGCGAAGGTAAACATAAATGACAAAGATAGAAGGTGTCGGTAGTTAATAGTCAACTTCATTCGAAACGTCGGCTGAATTAAAGACTTGGTTGTGAAAAGAGTGTCTTCACTCAGTGACTTACCAACATGACGAAACTATTCATGGGTATACATTTTACCTTGATAGGTCTGGGTAAATCTGGTTTCTTGTACCGCCACCACAGCAGCCCGATAACTGCTGTGGCACAGCTCAGCCAACCAGCGAACCCCAGCAGGTTCAACAACTTGTACACGTCAGTAGGTATCAGCATCAGCAAACCGAACGAAATCTGTAATTTTGGATGGAGTTGTAGAGAATAGTGTCAGTATATTGCCATGTCTCTTGACGTCGGGTGACATCTACGTGATAAGCGCCTATTGCTGTTCACTTTTCTTTCCGCTTGTTCAACTGATTTCAGTACATTAGATCCTGTAGATAAATTCAATTACATTCTCATGGGAGTAAACTAGTACAGTGTTCAAGTATTAAAGGAAATGCATTAAGAAATGTTTAAATCCTTGAGGTTACATGTTAGAGAATTTGTGTTTGTTTGTGTGTGCGTGCGTGCGTGTGTGTGTGTGTGTGTGTGTGTGTGTGTGTGTGTGTTTGTGTGTGTATGTGTGTGTGTGTGTGTGTGTGTGTGATTGTGTGTGTATGTATAATGTGCGTAGGAAGACTTTATTCATACAAATGTATTTTTCTTTGTTATATCTTATATATACATAAGAGTTTATTCATACATGTATTATTCTTTGTTACATCTTCAGTTGTAGAAGACCATACGAAAGTCCCTGTACTTTTTGTTGAGTCAATAAAGAATTTCTGTATATATAACAGCCATTCGTCAAATAACCTTACATTTGAATCAAGCCAATCTGATAACCATTCTACTTCATTTGCTTGTACAGTTTTAGTTCGAGTGATTTATACTAAATTATGGATCTGAAAAATGATAAGGTTTTTCTCACCAATAATATGACAGCAGGGACAGGCGTTAGTTGGTTGATTTGAATCATCGACAGGATTCTCGGGAGAGTGCCTTCCCTTGCAGCTACCATCAACGGTCTATGGAAGAAGCATTGCACACACATAGCCTTCGTAGCAGGCTTATAGAACTGTGGGTTTGGTGGTCTTCGGCTGTTTCCTGACTAGCCCAGTTCTAACGGGGGTCAATATTGTCTATATGCAATCAGAAAATAGCACATAAAAGCTCCCAAAGACCCTGAAGACCCCCCAAACCCACAGTTTTTGGCATGCTATGGAGGCTAGTACACGCATGTAATATGTATAATACAAAATATTCAATGGGGTACTAGAAAGTCAACAACTTGCTACATAATGTAACCCAACACCACAGGGTGTCTGCTACAGCACCAGTTACCATGGTGACAGCCGTCTGGTCCAGCTTATTGCCCTTATTTGTTCAGAATATCAATGCATATATAATGGTTACTTCAAAATGGTGTAGCCTGACAAAATACTGCTCTGTTCATTCGTAAAATTACTTGCTGTAGTCGAAGTACGAATGCCATTTAGTTTTACCTTGTATTCACCATAGTGCTGGAGAGAACAGTTGCAAACGTGGAGACTGCCACTGCCACGGGTATGATCCAACTCATAATACCAAGGAGACGGTTGGCGAAGGTCTGAAGAAAAAAATCTTCCACTGTATTCTGCATCAGTTCTGCAGTTGGAAGGAAACGTCCTGCAGCTGCATTCAGTCTTTGTTCATCTTCTTCCTTTGTGTTTTTTGTCTTGACTTAATTTAATTCAATTTAGTCATAGAGTTGAGACGGCTCTTTTTTTTTTGTAGTTGTTTGTATAGAATTATACTGTAGAACGGCATAGTAGAGCATACATACCCTACACGTTTTATTGTTTTATTTATGTTAATTATATTATCAGTTTCTCGTAATAACGCCAATAATTTGAAAACAGATTGCTTAATTTCATTTTGTATGTTTAAGTAACCAGATCATGTATTTTAGTTATTTCTGTATCATAATTTGATTTCCTTATAATGTAATTATGTAAATTACGTATCTGTATATTGATGTGATATTTACTATTCATTTGGGGAAGGCCCGCCAAAAATTAAGGTTTTAGACCTATTTTTTATTATCATCTGATTAGTATTTTTGTTGTATTTGTGTGCAAATAAACAATAAACATAAACAAACACGTATTTGTATACTTACCACGGCGACTGCATCCGATGCGAGCAGCTCAGCCGGCGTCATGGCTGTGAAGTAGGCGATGTTCGTCAGCACGTAGATACCGGTCACGAGCGGCAGCGAGATCGCTGTGTTCAGTACCAGGTTCCTGGGGAATAACATCAATGGGTCAAGTAAGATTCAGTTTGCAAACTGTCACCTCACTTCGGTCAGGGAGCTAAAAGACGGTGGAAGTAAGGAGATGAGCCCCACCTATCGGATCATCAACCCACTGCAGCTGCCTCTACGGCCACCAACAAGCTATGGAACTAGTAAGTTCAATAGAACGGTGAACATTTCATTTTATCGGTAAGGAGCTTAGATTATTACCTCTAATTATCTTGAATCTAAATCCTTGGTGAATGTAAAATTCTTACCTCGTTGGGTTTTTCAGCTCCTCTACCATAGCATTAAGGCCTTGCCTGAAGCGAAAACAAACAAATAAACAAACAAGCTAAACAAAAATTGCAAATTGGAAGGTAACATGTATAAAGCAAATGCATCTCTCCTACATGGTATACATGTATGGCCTACAGACTGCTCTGTTTATTCCTGCTTTAATTTAACACATTGATACATGTATATGTGGTGACCAGTCCTGTCCTGCCACTTGCTATATATAATGCAATCCAACACCACAGGGTATGTCTGCTACAGCACCAGCTACAATGGTGACAGCCGTCTGGTACCATGGTAAATGATATTGGTCTTATTTGTTCCAAACGAAAGAAGAAACGTAGCGAAACCTACCACCCTTCGTATGCCCAAAGTGCTGAATAGAAGGACACCATAGTGTCCCCGACTGAAGTCGTGGTTCCCTCAAACGCGTTGGCTGGCTCTAAGTTAGTGGTGTGTCCTAAAAATACAGAATGGTTTTTATTTCCCTTGGCTGTTGTGTTTTTTACCTCCTACCTCGGTATAGTATTGCTTTCGGTTGTGTTTGTGTTTGTGTGTTCGCTTGTGATCGGTTAATAGAATAACCGACCACTTTTTGGATCGTACCATTATACAGGGGACAGGACACTTACAGTAGTGTTAAGACATGTAGTATTTATCTATCAAAACGTATTTTGAACAATCTATTTGAAAATACATGCGAGCATTAACCCTTTATTATCCCACCTTTAGCAAGTTGGATCCCTCCGAACACTATAATGATCGCGAGTGCCGCCACCTTCAGAATCGTCAGAACCTTGTTCACTTGCGCCACCATGCGGACACTATAGCAGTTGACAAACCCTATCAGAGCTGCAAGAACAAAATATCAATGTAATAGCTGTAATAAATACAACCTTTCTGTTACAAAATCTAGGACCTGTGACACATTTATTAGTTAAAATGACTTTGAGTGGTGTTGGGTAGTTTTAAATCACTATTTTTTTCTGGACCGAAACTGGAAACGCAACGTAATTTAGTAGGCCTTTATTTAACCCTATGTAGACGGGGGGGGGGGGGC